CACAGGGGAGAAAATTCTGCTTCAGCTTGCATTTTCCTGATCTGTAGTCACTGCACTGACACCACACACATTTGTATTAAATTATTGACCATACGTTTACCCCAGGCATGGACAAACTTCAGCCTTCCAGATGTTTTGGATTTCAACTCCCACAATTCCTAACAGCCTACCGGAATTGTGGGAGTTGAAGTCCAAAACACCTGGAGGGCCAAAGTTTGCCCATGCCTAGTTTACCCTATGTGAGTTCACTTCAGTGTTAAAGGGTGTTCTTGCTATACTTTGCATTTTCCCTCCAGAAAACGGCCACCCCTTTTACTTTCCCTTCCTTGTGCATGTGAATATACATATGCCCACATTATATGTGTATGTCTCAATAGGGCATAAGCCAACCTACTAAGCTCGATAGCCTCTATTAAATGTTTATAACCTGAGGCCAATGGAATTATACATATAAACACACTGTCAAAACTAGAGTAATTAAATGCTGGCAAAATAGACACAAGTAGCATTTCATGTTGGAAAGGACCAGTGAACCTCCTCTCTTCTTGTGCCACAAACCCAGCTCAGCATCAAAGCTGACATGGACCATGGGCAGATGTAAAATAACCTGAATATCCCAAAAAATCCAGATTTAACTTCCATTGTAAAAAAAGGCCCTAATTAGATCCAGATTCTGAAGTTTGTAGTGCAGTGTTTCTCAACCTGAGGGGTCAGGACCCCTGGGGGGTGGTGATGGGGTGCCAGAGGGGTCACCAACAACCATCAGAAAACACAGTCTTTTCTGTTGATCATGGGGATTCTGTGTGGGAAGTTTGGCCCAATTCTATTGTTGGTGGGGTTCAGCATGCTCTTTGATTGTAGGTGAACTATAAATCACAGCAACTACAACTCCCAAATGTCAAAGCTATTTTCCACAAACTCCACCAGTGTTCACATTTTGGCATATTGATTATTTGTGCCAAGTTTAGTCCAGATCCATCATTGTTTGAATCCACAGTGCTCTCTGGGTGTAGGTAAACAACAACTCCCAAACTCAAGGTCAGTGCCCACCAAACCCTTCCAGTATTTTCTGTTGGTCATGGGAGTTCTGTGTGCCAAGTTTGGTTCAATTCCATCATTGGGAGAGTTCAGAATGCTCAATGATTGTAGTTGAAGTATAAATCCCAGCAACTACAACTCCCAAATGACAAAATCAATCCCACCAGTATTCAAATTTGGGCGTATTGGTTATTTGCTCCAAATTTGGTCCAGTGAATGAAAATACATCCTGCAAATCAGATATTTACATTACAATTCAAAACAGTAGCAAAATTACAGTTATGATATAGCAATGAAAATAATGTTATAGTTTGGGGTCACCACAACATGAGGAATTGCATTAAGGAGTCGCAGCATGAGGAAGGTTGAGAACCACAGACGTAGTGTCATACCAGCTCCTGCTATATAAATATTCATTCATATGGACAAGCCACAATGTCTGTTGCACCTTATAATAATTTTGTGCCTGGTTACAGGAACACCTTGAGACTCCTGCTGACGCAGCGGGTTAAACCGCTGAGCTGTTGAACTTGCTAACCGAAAGGTTGGCAGTTTGAATCCAGAGAGCAGGATGAGCTCTCATTATTAGCCCCATCTTCTGGCAACCTTGCAGATCAAAATCATGCAAATGTGAGTGGAAGGTAACAGTACTCCCTGCAGTCATGCTGACCACATGACCTTGGAGGTGTCTACGAACAACGTCAGCTCTTTGGCTTAGAAATGGAGATGAGCACCACCCTCAGAGTCAGACACGACTAGACATAATGCCAGGGGAAACCTTTACCTTTTTACAGGAGCACAGCAAGGCATTTTTCTTATTAGACCTTCCCAACCCCCCCCCCCCCCCCCCCCCCCCCCCCCCCCCCGCTCCCATGGACTGACTGTAAAAAGCCACAGCAGTTCAGTACTAAGTGCAAGGTATTATGTGCCTAGTCTAGCATAGTTCCATTATGTTACATTGTGCCATATAATGAGCCCATGAGTGTTATGCCCGTTTTCCTCTGTTTTGGATCTCAGCCTTGCTTTTGTGTACTATCCAGAGATCATCAGCTCTTAAATGGCACAGAAATGCATTGTGTAAATGAATAATATTGTTATAATATATGGCAGAAGACTTCGCATGCTCTTGATAAACAAACCTGGGCTTCCAATGCAAGACACAGAATAACCTGAAATTGCCACCAAATAAGTCATTTGCAGAGGCTTCATATGGACCGGTGGCCCTCCTGAATAAAGACCGCTATGTGCTATAATGATATGCAGACTTCCTCCCAGCTGAACCATTGAAAGGTCTCGAGAGTTCTCTGTTACATTGCAGAGCTAAATTGTGACCCATTTTTCCTGCCTAGGCAACAAGGGGGGAGGGTGTGGAGGGAGCTGAAATAGCAGGAGAATATTAAGTGAGCCATGGGATCACATTTCTTCAAAAGACAAGATCCAAGCTGATGTTGCCAGAAATTGCTAGACAGTCACAGGAAAGAAGAACGCCGTGAGATTTTTTTTTGCCAGAGAATAAATTAAGGGAATATATGCTGAGAGCAGCATTATCCTCAGCAATTTGCTTTGCACACTGTGCGATTTCCTTTAATGGAATGCAAAGGGGAGGAGGACTGTGCTGAGTCCTAGAGGCTTTATAAAACTGTCATCTCACGTTGGTGACAAAACATCAAGCAGCTGAGTCTGTGAGACTCCTTTTGCTACAGTCTTATTGGAACAGGTTAGACTGTAAAATGTGCCGCAGGGAGGGGGCTGCACACATCCAAATATTTTTACTGCTACAAGAGTTTGGGGATGAATGCCTCCGCAATACCAATAGTGGTGCTTTCTCACATCACCAAAGGACAGCATTCTTGGTGACCAACCCAGGCTGGTATTCGTTTTGCTCTTAGCTATACAACAATAGGGGGATGGGGATTTTTTTAAGGCAATGAGCTGCTAAAATTATATTGTCAAAGGCCTTCATGGCAGGAATCAGCAAGTTCATCAGCTCAGTGGTTTAACTCGCCGTGCCACCATCTACTGAATAAGTCATCCTTCCGGGACGATATGCACTGAATACAGAGTCAACGATTCCTCAGATCTTGGAATCTATGTACAGTTAACTTTGGTTTGCATTTGAATGGGAGAAGGCCAACATATATTTCAGAGGAAGGGCCAGGCAAAATTACCTTTGAATATATTGTCGAAGGCTTTCATGGCCGGAATCACTGGGTTGTTGTAGGTTTTTTGCCTCACTACCTCTGAGGATGCTTGCCATAGAGGCAGGTGAAACGTCGGGAGAGAATGCCTCTAGACCATGGCCATATAGCCTGAAAAACTTACAACAACCCTACCTTTGAATATTCATTTCCAAAGAAGACTCAATGAAATTCACGAAGATGCTATACATTGGCAGACAACCAGAAGGCACACATACAACACATATTTTTCAACACGTAGGGGAATAATTCTGCAATCCCCCCCACACATACATACATATACACACAAATGATGGTTATGGCTATAGTGATAGGGGGTTCTAAGAGGTCTTGTCATATTTTTGCTTGTGTGGATGCACCCGGATTTATAAAGTTGGTATTGTTTTCCACTAGAAACTTCCTGCAAACCTTGTTGAAAGTTAATTGGCAATTTGTACATTTTGTACATGCAATAAAGATCCTTTCTGAGTGAATGTGGAAAATCCCTCATACACTTTGACACACAAACACTTGCATTTGAAAAAGAGTTTATTTCTTTAAAAAATTGGTGTAAGAGATAGAAATTGGGTTGTACCAGAATAGTTCCGCTGTGTATAGCTTATACAGGCTTGTGAAAAAAATGTATAAATATGAATACATTTTTAAAAAATTATGGCACACCAATCCTCATAGAAGGGAAAAGTGAAACAATTACAATGCACATATTCATCCCTGCTTAACTCAAAAGCCACCTTTATCCTAAAACGAATTCTTCAAGCAGTTCATTAAATTCACATTCCAAAGGGTCAAGTAGAAAGGGTAACTTTTTTAAAAAGTTGCTATTTGAAACTTATTGTCAAATACTAAACTGTCTTCCCTTTCTCTGTCAAAGCTTCAACCAAACTGTATCCACACTGCAAAATTATTCCAGTTTGATACCACTTCAACTCTCATGGCTCCAACTGATAGTATCTTGTGATTTGTAGTCTGGTGAGATATCTTTTCCTAAACTATACCTCTCAAGCTCTCTCTTGGGAGATTTTGAGTAGCACATAAAAACATGAATGCCAGCTTTCCACAGGATGTGGCCATGGCAGTTAAAGTGGACTCAAAGCACAACTTCTATGTGAAATGTCACCTGGAAATTTCTTAAGACATTAATAATCAATTTGTTATATCTATTGTCAAAGACTTTCATGGCTAGAATCCATGGGTTATTGTAGGTTGTGACCTCACAACCTCCGAGGATGCCTGCCATAGATGCAGACAAAACATCAGGAGAGAATGCTTCTAGAACATGGCCATATAGCCCAAAAAACCTACAACAATCCAATTCATTATATCCTTCACTTTAGAGCGAATTCAAATTGTTCTTTGACTTTACCTCTGCCACTGGCTGAAGAGGCTTTTGCAAGCTTTAGAACCAATGAAAAACAGCCATATCTCAGTGGTAGAAATGAGGTGAATGTACACATTCTATGGATAATAGCTTTCAGGAGGAGGAGGAGGAGGAGGGAGGAAGAGGAGGAGGAGGAGGAGGAGGAGGAGGAAGGAGGAAGGAGGAAGGAGGAAGGAGAAAATACATTGCCTGGTTGTAGTTTTATTTTACCATATTCATTCCATGGTAGAGGCTTTTGCAAGCTTTAGAACCAATGAAAAACAGCCATATCTCAGTGGTAGAAATGAGATGAATGTACACATTATATGGATAATAGCTTTCTGGAGGAGGAGGAGGAGGAGGGGAGGAGGAGGAGGAGGAGAAGGAAGGAGGAAGGAGAAAATACATTGCCTGGTTGTAGCTTTATTTTACCATATTCATTCCATGGTAGACTCCAGGGTTCATTAAACCAATGATTCTCAATGCAATAGCACACAAAGTGAAAAGTGCTGCTCTTTTTAAAAAGTGTTTTCAAGTGTCAGAAGTACATTTGTAATGAAGTTATGTCTGCAGCTTTCTTCTTCTTTAGTGTTTTGAAAATATTGCTAAATCAAGCTTTGGCAGATTCATTTCTCTCACAGAAGCAACCTAGCTCTTTGGATGCCTGAATGTGGTATCAAAGCCTAACTTTTAAACAAAAATGAAAATGCTTTCATTTCTTTTAATATCAGCACTGCAAAAAGGCTTACTTTAAAGAGGACCAAAAGAGCAACACCTAAGACATAGTTGGGGAATTAAGTTACCTCCCAAGTTTGAAGAGTTAACTAGAGGATACTGATAGGTGTAGTCTCCAATAATAGCTTTTCCAACGTTTCCTACAAGTATGAAAAATCCTCTGAAAAGATTTATACAGTCATCACAACATCTCTTGGAAGTAGGACAGAAGTAATTCCAATGGTGTTGGACTATGCATTGAGATTGAGATATCTATCACATCTGCATCCTTCACAACTGTGTGAACACCTATATATAGTCATAAACTTGCTACAACTTTATCATGGCTCCATGTATGGAATCCTGGGATTTGTAATTTGGTGAGGTACTTAGAATTCTTTGCTACAGAGCCATGATGAATTCCCTTGAAATATGCAACCCTAGCTTCTACAGCCATGTTGGTTGGAAAATTATGAGTTGGAGTCCATGTGTTAAGAAAGGTAGCAGTAAGACATATTAGAGTTGTTCAATCCAGACCAGTATCTACTTGGGAGTAAGTCCCATTGAATTCAACAACATGAATTTGCAAGTTTAGCATATAAAGGTTCCTGCCTAAACCACCATGAAACCAATGGAGAAAACATTTTACAGAGAGTTATGGATATACAAAATTTAGATCTAGATGGTGATAGTGCAGTGATCTCACCAGGGATATCACCTCCACAGTGACAGTCAACATTGCAAAAATTCACAGCTTAAATTTACAGAAAGTCAAGTTTCCAGCCCTTATGTCTGAGGTGATAAGTTTAAAACATAAGTTCAATACCAATTGAACTTATGTGGTAGAGGCTCCTTCTTTGGAGGCTCTTAAGCAGAGGCTGGATGGCCATCTGTCAGGAGTGCTTTGAATGCACTTTCCTGCTTCTTGGCAGGGGGTTGGACTGAAACTCTAAGATTCTATTATTCTATGAATTAAAATCCTTAAAAGTGGAGAGAGACCTGTGACAAACTAGGGGAGAAGAGAGAGAATTATGATGGCATCTCTTGATAGTTCCTTTCTCCCTGGAAAAAACAGCTTCAGGGTGCTTCAGTGCTGTGAAGGATAGTTGAAAGGGCTTTTCCTCATGTTGTTTTCCTGATTTATACACCCTAATACCAGCTGTAATATTGGGGAAAACATATGTAAGAACTTAAGATCAAACAAAAGGCAATTCTGATCCAGCGTTTCTGTTCAGAGCTCTTCTACTAGATGCTCCAATGAGAAGTTCATAAACAAGACATCTAATGTTCCCCAACAACTAATATACAGAGGTATCCTGCTATTGATCCTGGACCTGATACAAGCTGTTGTGAATGACCCAGTCCTCCATGAAGTTATCTTATTTCTTTTCACAGCTGTCCATGCTGCAAGCCTCCTCTATATGTTGTAGCAGTGAGTCCTACAGTTTAACTATGAACTTTGTGAAGAAATATTTCACTTGAAGTAGTACTCTTTATACTCCTGTATAAGTCCAATGAACTTAGTTTCTAGTATTATCTGGGGGCATATTTCACAATTCCCTTTCTGAATACCATGCATAAGCTCTTTGTGGCTTCCTCTTCAGGAAAAAAAAAGCTCTAAGTGTGTGAAGGCTGGAACTTCTCATATCTTGTCTACCATGTTACCAAATAGTGTTTCCATTAGGGTGGTAACAGGTCTTCTACACTTAGAAATACTTCTTCTACTATATGTAAATGGCAGAATCAATCACACAAAGTTGACACAATTAAGATTTACCCTTGCTCCACTTGCAAAAGGTAATCAGTGTGCAAGACTGGGCTTCACTGGGCATAAGTTTGGGTAAGCATAAGCAGCCCTCTTTTAAAACAAAAAAAAGTTGTGCACCTGATCCAAAGCATTCTCCATTTTCAAAATGAAAGTCTATTACTCTAAGTCTTTTATCAGGGAAATAAAACTACAAATCGGAAGAAGAACAACATAGTACTAGAACATCATTATTGCCATGATGATGACTCTCACATTGGAATCACACACACTTTTGGTGCAGACCACCTTAGCTTGCCGTATCCCTGACTTGCAGCTGACCCATAGTATAGTAGAACTTGCATATCAGTCTCTACATCTTATTCTTTGGGTTTGCCCATGAGTATATACAATCTTTGAGTGTCTCCATCAAAGGATCTGTGATTGTTAAAAAGAAGCGAGAAAGATCTTGAGAAGGCAAAACCATGTTTGTAAACAAGGGCGGCTCACATCTCTTCAAACAATGGTGCTCCGATTTGTGCATTGACCACAGTCCAAAGTGGGGCTAGTGTCCTTCTTAGGGGCGTATTTCTTCCATCACTTCCATGACAATTGTTCGAGGGCCTGTGAGGATGAGATTGCTCACTGTCCTGTAGTCTGCATGGAGAACATTGAGTCCATTCACTGAAACCACAAACTGGCAGACCTAAGAGAAAAGGAAACAGGCAATGAGATTCAGCTCATAGGTCTCGAGGAAAGCACAACATCCTTTTCTAAGCCTCAGTATCGAACTTGGCACACAATATTTGCAGTGTTCAAATGTTTCTATTTGCTTAAACAACAAAATTGCCACAAAACTAAAGGCTGTGTGATGAAGTCCTAAACACAGAGAAGATTTATCACCCTTGTGACAGGCAAGCTGACAACCACCATTGCTATAAACAAGATAAAAACTAAAGAAAGGATAACAACAGAGGCAGGAGAAATAAATGCTCAGCATTCTGCACTTGCTGAGCTGTTGGTAGTAAAGCTCAATTTCTATATTAAGAGGTAGTGAATAAGCTGTTCCCAGATGGAACTGGGGCACAGATTGGGAACTAAATGAAAAAAGCTGCTGGTAAATAAAACAAACCAGGAAACAATTTTGACCTTAAGGTTTTTCTGTATAGCATGTGAAATGACATACATATCTGAGTTTTGTTTGTTTATTTTTAAAGAAAATGAGATCATTTAAACAGGAAACAATTTATTGTTAATAGGCATGAACATATGACTAAATAAGCACTATTTAGATTTTAGCAAAATTAAGTGACAACATTTTTAGAGCTAGAGAAAATTAAGAACAGATCAGGAAACATTCAGGTGTACTCCATGTCACCAGGGCAGTGAATCCACTCCTTTGTCAAAGAAGATGGCTGTTGTATTGAACTGATTTGAGTTTAAATATGTACTAAGGATGCTACCAGCAAATCTGTGGCCAATCAAGAGGCAACCACATGCTCCCTGCCCAACCTACTGCAGTGCCAGGTTAACATCCGCATGGTCCAGCTGGGTTAAGACTGCACTGAACCTGCTGGACTGTCACCTCACCTTCTGGTCACCACTGCCACTCCCAACTGGCCCCGGGTTCTGTGCTAACCCCTGGACATTGCAGGTGCCCCATTCGGATATCAACAGACATGCCAATCTCTCCTCCTCTTTTCTGACTGCATAGGCCCATGTTGATGCCAGAATGTAGTGCCTGCAACAGCATAGGGCTCTGTGATCAGTTGGAAGTGGTGATGGTGGTGATGTGGGCATGATCCATCCCCTTTTTCCTATACTGATGGATAAAGGGGAAAAGATGATCGCAATAGTACTACATGTCCTCCATATGATTCTGTGATTCTAAGGCAATTCACAGGGTTTTTATCACAAGGTAGTCTATAATTCTATGATGATAAGGCAGGCCTGTACAACCTGCAGCTCTCCAGTTGTTTCAGACTCCAGCTCCCAGAATTCCAGACTATTGGACAAGCTGCCTAGGGCTTCTGGGGAGGTCTGAGTCCTAAATATCTGTAGGAACACAGGTTGGGAAGCCCTGTTCTGAGAACCTATCATGGGGTGTTCTATAATTCTATCATAGGATTTTCTATTATTTTAAGCTAAACTTACCATAGGGCTCTCAAAAATTCTATGAATCTAAAATGAACCTATTATAGGGTTTTCTGAGATGATGATTTGTGCCTTGCCCAAATGGGTTTTCGCCAACCTCCATGACAAATCAGCAGGGCAATCCTGGCACCCCATGTTGTGCCTTGCCAGCAGCGATGCTCCATTACACATGGGGAAATGTCACCACACGGCTTCCCTTTGCACTGGCCCCATGATTGCTCATGGAACATGGGAGACCTCCCGTCTTCTGGGCCAAATGTTCTAGGATGCTTGCAGTTCACCCATGAAACGCCACTGGAAGTGATCCTGCATCACTTGATGGGTGGTGTGGGGCTCCATAGCTCAACTGGGAAGAAAGCATCCTACGACACTGAAAATTACTTGTGTGATGAGGTCATAAGTGTAGATCTAAACCCTGTTCTCCAGATTCATAGTTCAGTGCTAAAAGCAATGCTATTAATCTCTATATCAGGTTTTCCTTCTGCTTATCCTCCTTCCCATCTTGTCAGGCAATACCCCTGACTCCATCTGGTTTCTAACAAATGAGGAATTCTGTGTAGAAAGCAGAAATCTCACCCAGTTCACTGTTCTCTATCGGCTGTCTCTGACTAACACTGAGCTGCCTAAAACAGCTCTAGAGAACTGAACATGTTAACATGTTGCTTAAAGAGCGTTGCCACCTAGTGACTGTGGATGGCAATACAGGCTAGACTTAGGCTAGATCTATACTGCCCTATATCCCCAGGATCTGCTTTGAACTGCATTGTATGAGTCTCTACTGCCAGACAATCTGGGATAAGCAGATGATCTAAGATCAGATCCTGAGATATAGGGCAGTGTAGAATAGGCCTTAAATAAGTTATATATAATCAAGTTTATAAACCAAATGTTGCACAGAGCAACAATTCCCATAAGTTTGGTGGCTGGTTAACATGGTCTTGGACTCATGATCTTGGAACTATGGCAAACACACACAAATACATTCTCTTTTGCTGCTTTAGAGATCCCAAGAGCACACTTGCAATTTTAGAGTTAACTGTTAACATCTGAGTGCCATCTCTTAACAATAAACACTTCTAAGCAGAACCCATTGAATTTAACAAGCAACGTGCTAAGCCTAAGAGGCAGTTTATGATGAAAGCAAAATAAAACAAAGAAAGGATAAGAATGTGGCAGCATTTGGCAAGGGCAAGGCAGGGAGTATCGCATCCAGCTGGAACAGCCCCAAAGCAGTTCTTAATTTTATAGAGCTTTAGGGCAAGTACTAACGGATACTACCAAACCACACAATAATCACCAAAGTCAGTGACTAAGGACTAAACAAGGAGGGAACTTGTGGTTTTCTTTAGTATTAATGTGTTGACGGACTGCCAAGAAGTCCCAGCCTCTGAAGGCTATTATTTTAGAGAAGTGGTTTCCAAGCTTTGGTCCTCCAAGTGTTTTGAACTTCAACTCCTAGAAATCCCAGCTATTTAACCTGCTGTTAGGAATTGTGGGACCTGAAGTCCATAACACCTGGAGGACCAAAGGCTGGGAACCACTGTTTTAGAGGAAATTATTGACAGAACTATTTCTGAGTGTACCTTGTCTACGAAAACCTTCTGAAATGTGTGGGATTGCTGTACATTGACAGGTGACTTGAAGGCACATATACACTATTTGCTACCGACCTATTACAATACTACAGAATTAAGATTATCCCAAGGAACTACAAACGCCTGGGAAACTTCAAAACCATCTTGAAAACCTGTTCCTAATCAGACACTACCTGACGGTAAAGTAGCTACATCTACAGCTATTTTTAGAGAAAGTGGGATACTGGTATCAAAATCTTCAAATTTCTCATTGGCTTGTATTGGAAAACCCAAATGACTGTGATTTCTTCTTTTATATCAGACATTACTTTAAAAGTTGCTTTTCATTACTTTCTGAGCTGTCATCGATCTAATAACTACTCCCCCCAAAAGATTTCTCCAGTTATGAAAAAAAATGCAGATATCAATCAACTCAAAGCTGCCTTGTTGGCAAATAGCAACAGCAATGTTACTTGCTCAAAGAAAACAGATTACTTCAGTTATCTTATAGGTATTAAGTAACTTCAATCATTTATATGACTTCTGAACAGGTTCAGAAATGGAGTGGGCAGATCAAAAGACAATCTCTCAAAATGGCACTACCTAAAAGAATCCTCCGCCTTGTGTGACTGTGGAGCAGAACAGACAACTCCACATCTGTATGCTTGTCTACAATGCCCTGCCTCATGTGCAGAGGAAAAATTGTTGGAGGCTACAGGCAATGCAGTCGCTGTTGCCCATTTTTGGTCAAAAGATATTTAGCCGCTTGTGCTCCTTCTATTTTTATCAATTTTATACTAATTTATGCAATGCTTTTGATACAAAATAAATAAATACGTCATTTATATCCCTCCATCTATTAAAAAAGTCATGAAGGACAACCTTTGAAAAAAATAAGTATTGTAAAAGCCTCAGCTTGTTTGCATTTACTACCATCTTCAAAGGGGAATGATCTGCAAACAAGAACACCATCAGGGGCCATTTCTTTTGTTCTCTCTGTGCTTAACAGACGCACACAGAAAGAATTATCCTCTGCACAACAGCCGTGACTCCCTAGCATGGATCTGTCTAGCAAACGTTCAATTGGCTAAAGAGAGGGTGGTGCGGGTGCAGGCAACGATCCAGTTCTTGTGCAAACATCAGATTACATCTCCAGAGAAAAAGCATTCCCTTTCAATCACAAAGCCGCCTGGTGTCTTATTAGAAACGTTCTCGAAAAAAAAGTTTACTAGAAACCAGGGTTCCATTTGCAGAGGCGAGATAAACAACTTTTCTTATGGAACAGCACACACTTCCCTCTTATTGCGTCTTCCAACTGGCACAGATCTCTTTCCTCGCACAAAAACACCAGTCCCTCTTGCACAATCCCAGCAGCTGTCGAAAACATTGCGAAACTCTTTTTTTAAAAAAAGTAATGCCAAACCACTCCTGGACTCCTTTCAACACTTAACAGAAGACTCCTTGAGACAAGACACATGGGTTGGGAGAGGGGTGGGATTTGTAGCTGTTGTTGTTTTGTTTGGTTCCAAACAATGTAAATGTTCTCCCGAACTATTTTCTGGCAATTCCCAGCACCAGTAGCGACTGTTTACTCCCAACCTCAAATGGGCCTTTTAAAAAATATGCAACCTACTAAAACAATATGTTCCTTCTCCTCCTTTTGTGTTCAGAATTGTAATTCTATACTGCATAAAGAAATGACACTTTTCTGCTATAACTAAAAAAAAATTAATTCTTGAGGAGAAAAATGCCATAGGACCACCTCTGTATCTGGCTTCTAAAAAGCTCCAAGAAACTGAAGCCCCATCTGCAATGCCATATGGTGCAGTTTCAGAATGCAGTTTAACTGGATTGGACTGGGTTATTATCTGGGCTGCCATATAATGCAGTTCAACTGCATTCTGAAACTGCATTATACAGCCATGTAGATGGGGTCTGAGTGAGCACATTAGCCCTCTAGGAAATCTTATCTCATACC